AGCCTAGGTCTAAGGAAAAAAAAAACAACAAACAACAAAAAACTACGAAAACAAAACACCAAGCCCTGCAAATTAATTCATCCATTGCTCTTCATCCCCTCAAAGAACTCAAGAGATTACAAGGCTTTGTTGATTCTCCATTTATTTTGAGAAATATAAAATATGAAATCTAATTTACAGTTCTGGCACAAAAATGATGAAGCAATAAGCACAAAGTTTGGTTTTGTGGTTTGTTTGGTTTTTGTTTGTTTTTCTGTTTGTTTTTTTTACAAATAATGTTATGTACTTCTACCATTTAAAAGTGCCTAGAGCTTTTCACAGCAAATAAAGTTTCTTTACCTATATTTTTTTTTCTTAGTAAAATATTAAATCTGTTTAAATTGCACATGAACACCCTGGTGAAGTAAACTAGATGTAAAGTTACAATAAACTGGTAAAGCAAACAGTCATTAGAAACTACATGGAATGGAAATGACCATCAAAGCCTAAATCGAATCTTAAAGATCGACCAAGAAAACAAGAGACAAGACACTGACTGATATGGCACAAGTGATTAAATTATTGACAATCTGACAAAAAGTAATAAAGCCTATTTGAAGTTCTTCACAGATCTAATACACTAAAACATTTCAATGCAGAGGTTTTGTAACATTTAAGCTGGCAAAATAGTTTTTCAGCTGCTAAATATTTTTCCACAAAATTACAAGGCATCTCCTTCACTTAAAATTGGACCTTAACATGAGTACACTGGTAGAGAACGTGCATAAGAAAACAAAAATTACACCACAGGTTGGCGCAGGTGACGATATGCTATGTTTTGACAACAAAACAGTTGAGAAGTTCATCAGTTAAAACCAACTGCATCAACTTGCACCAGCAAAAACTAGAACATTTAAAAGATTATTCTTGTTCCTTCAAAAAACTTGCCTCCCTCAAATTCCCACAACCGCTGAGGGGTTCAGCCTACACTTTTCCTGTCCATACAACCACTTACATTGTGCAAAGTTAGGTAGGAACTGAAGTGTCCAGAGATCAGGGCCAGAGCTTTCACCTCGTGTTCTTATTCCTCCTTCCCAGACCCCTGTGCTGAACTGTATCAGTCATTATTTGGAGGACTCTTCAGTCAAGAAAGAGCGATTAGTGATCTAGAGACATCCAACCTGAAATATTTGAGACGTCCAGCTGCCATAGTGTCTTGCGTGTGCTCTGACCTTCTGGATTTTGTTTCTTAATGCAAACCCTTTAACATTCCAAGCTGATGATGCAAAAAATTCAAGTATCCAAAGTCTTACTGGTTTTAAAGTTCTGACTGTCAAGCTTGTGTCGATGTCGAGCCATTTACACGAGCGTTTCTTTCAAACCACGGCACAACCATTTTTGGTATCTTTTGCAGATGGTCAAAGGAATATTTGATTTGCATCAAAATATGAATTAATGTAGATAATGGGTCCAAATGGCATTGTTATATTGCTTTAAGAAACATAACAACGTTGGCAATGGATGTATGATAAATGCTCCACTGCGTCATTCACATTAAGCAGCATGGGAAGCATATGCACACTAGATTTCTTTGCACTGAAGCCCAGCTGTTAAAAAAATATGCAAGAATACACGCTAATCTCAAAATTAGTATTCTATTACAGGCATGCACAATTCCCAGCTGTTAAAAAAATATGCAAGAATACACTCTAATCTCAAAATTAGTATTCTAGTACAGGCATGCACAATCTCATATAGCTAAACAAAATCAGGAGAAAGGACCTAAAACATAGGCTTTGTGAAGAATTCCATAATGCTGCAACATCTGCAATCTAATTGCAGTCTAACCATGTAAAATGAGAGCGCTGATGTGACCCTCCTCCAAAATTGTTTGTAAACCAGGCAAGATTAGTCTACGTGAAGAAAATTTGAAAAGCAATCAACTGAATTCAGAGAGGGGGAAAGAAAAATAGCCTCACTAAAATTCCATTTTAAAGGTTTTTCAGTTAACCACCTATTATTTTTCATCCCAATTTAACTTTTCTTGAATATACATATAGAGTATCTTAACACAAGCAATCAATTTTGCCTATTTTGTTGTTAAATACTACTTTCAACAAAGTGAAAGTGCCAAGGTTTACATGTGATTTCAGATTCAGAGTGCTGACTAAAAATGGAAGATATAACAGTGAAAACACAGCAGTGCTAACATATACAAAATATGCAGCTTTTGAAAAAAAAGCAGCTCACAAGGCACTTGCTACAGTGGTCCATTAAACAAACAGTATATATAGTGCACCCTTAAAACATCACTGTTAAGCATCAAGCTTTTTCAGTGTTAAACTTATGATTTATTAGAAACAACCACTTGGTTCTGTGTATTCCGAAGCAGTTATTGAGCAGCCTTGTTTCATATAATGCAAATGAAACAAAGTACAAGCGGGGCGTAGGAAAGCATTTTAAATAATTTCTTGTCATGTGAAATTCTCTCCGTGTAGTGATAAAATTGTGTGGAATGCTGTTCTGACACAGACCCCTCTCTCCCAAAAAGCTACATTCCTGCTACTGGAAGAGCCTGACATTTTAATTACAATTGATTCTATCACCAGCTACCGGTTTGGCTCATCATTTGCAGCTTTGAAAAATAATGTGCATAACAGTAGCATTAAGCTACTTTCCTTTCCAGAGCAAAAACTGGCAGATAAGGAAAAGTAAGTATCTGTAAAAATTGTACATTATTTCAATGGCTTAAAATGCTGAAAGTCATAATCAACACACTTGATACTGGTTTGATTTTCGTTTGTTCACAACATACTTCAAAGGCCAGAAGAGCTGCAGACCCTATCACATCTCCTAGCATTTCCCTGTGGGAACGGGTTCTTCATCTCCCTTTACAAAGTATGTATGTATTAAACCATACTTTTTAATTATTCCCAGACTGAGAAAGCTTCGATCGTACCAATGTACCTGCCATCTTAAGGTTTCCACAGTTGCGTGTTGGACAGAATAAGGAAAGCAGTCATTGACAGAAGGATCTGTAGACTGGCCAAAGGAAAAGCTAACATTCTAAATTAAAAACAGTCCCAAAATGCTAGTGAAAGGTACCAACTTTTTCAGGGGACTTTGACCTACTTCAGTCCAGTCTGTCATGGTACTTATTTTGTCCATAAGCACCACAATGAGAAAACTTAAGCATCTGTCCAGAATTACCGCACATAGTCCATCTCAAATTCTACTCTGTGGATCACTTAGAAGTTCCCCAAATTCTCTCCAACATAAATCACCAAAAAAAAAAAAAAATTAATCTAATCCTCATTCACACTTTTGCATAGTTTGGCATTTTCTGGAGCTGTACTTTTGTTTTCTTTCCTAGCTTTTGAGGGGACTCATCTGCCACATACGCAAGTACTTCCAGTCAAAATCCTTCAGGAGAAGAACCGAGTCCCGCTTAAGCAGCAAGCTGTCCAGGACTGTTTCGATGTTCTTCTTTCAATTCAAGTAAAAGATTACTCAGTTTTATCTGCACTTTCAGATTTTTCCCTTTGCATCATGCAGCGGCGAACTATGCTGTCAAAACTTCCTAGGTAAAACAGGCCAACGATGCGAAAAATGCCCATGCAAACAATCTGGAAACAAAGAGAAACATTTTTCAATTCATTTAACATCCTGGATAGCAGCATATTATTTACACATGAAATAAAAAGAGTTCCAGGCAGGTATATTATATAATCTAAAGAAAACAAACTCATGAAAACCATAACAACTATGTAACAGTTCAGGACTGAGTAGCAGGTAGTAAGCTTAGCTTTCCCTCCACCTTGCTGCTTCAGCTTGAAAATACTGCTTCAGTTTCCTGAACCTCCGCCTCCACGGCATTAACAGCCATTTGATGAAAAAATAATCAATCTTTTCATTAAGTTCAACATTTTAAAGCAATTCAAACTATAAGCAATTGTCACTATGGAGCATTTCCAAATCTCACCTGCTGAAGACCTTCAGTAATAGAAGTGACTGGTGACATTCCACTTGTCAATATTGAGAGCATGTAACCATCTGACCCAACGGAGCTGTTAAAGTTCCCTTGCTGGATGGAAGGAAAGCAACAATTAAGCAAAAAGTAATTTACCCAGCTGTGGCAAATCATGATGTGTGTCATTTCTACAGCTATTATTAATGAACGGAGCCAGTATCACTAACAAGTATTTTTATGTAGAAAAAATTAGCACAACGAAGAATCAAAACATTCAAAACCAGTGCTATACAGCAACATTCTAAAAGTCATTCACTTGAAAACCGACAAAGAAGCAAACCTCTCTTTCGACTCTGCAGATTTCTTTACAGGACAGAAAGGCTCTAAGTTTCCTTCAAAACCCACCTGGCCTGCCCTAGGGGATCCTGCTCTGGCAGGTGGGTTGGACTAGATGATCTTTCAAGGTCCCTTCCAACCCCTGACATTCTAGGATTCCCTTCGAAACACGCTTACTGATGGAGAAAATGCACGACAGTCTCCCTGTATGTAAACACATTTCAGACACAGAATGAATGCCTAACTCTGTCACATCACCAATCTACTCTAATTGTAGAATAAACTTCTGCTTGCCTTCGGTTAAAATTAGTTCACTACCACATGAGGTTTAGCAGGGGGGTGTATTCAGCATCATAGAACAGTTTGTGTTGGGAGGGACCTTAAAGATCACTGAGTTCCAACCCCTTGGCTAGGGACACCTCCCCCAAGATCAGGTTGCTCAAAGCTCCATCACTGACAGGTCCTCCCTCATCTCTGTCAGGAATTTTTCACCGATCCTCCTCAAAACAGTGAGATACACGGCCCGCTAAGCAGTGCAGCTGGCACAGGAGCAGGGACAGACACCAAGAAAAAATTGCTTCTTTATTTTTCTGAATACCCATCAGGAAAAGCGCAGCCCTATAGCTCTGACTCGCAGGCTCCCATTTGTTTCCAGCAGACTACGCTGAAAAATGGACTTTCTGAAACACTGCAGGATGCCATTATGGAATGTGAAAAAGAAAGGAGAATATGATGTTCCAGAAAAACCACAGGAGTGAATTTATGCAAAGTAGCAGAGGATATGAGATTTGGTTATTTCCCGGAACACACCTGAGAGGACTGTGAGTTCCTTACAGTATCTTTTAATTTCTATTTCAGTCTCTCAGCTGATGGCTTGAGTGCAAAGAACACATCTGAACTAACGTATCACTGAAGTGCTGGAAAGCACAGTGTAGAAATACCAGGTACTTCAGATAAGAAGGGAGCTTGGTTTTCCTTTAAGCACCAAAGCAGAATACAATGTCAGGTAGTACTTGCTTTTGAAGCTCACCACCTTAAAATCAGACATAATTTTGTATGTGCTATATTTGTGAATATAGCTATATATTGTGAATATGCTGCTGAAACTCCACAAATGAACGCCTGCTGTAGATTTAAATCATGTTGATGATCCAGAACATTCGGAACCACAAACTACAGATTTCAGGATTTAGTCACTGTGCTTTAAGAACATGAAAAATTCCTCAGAAAAGCAATACACCTTTAACCATCAATAGCTTCATTTTATGTATAAAGTGTGATTCATAACTCACACTTAAGACGTTAAAAGCCAAAAAGGCTGGACTGCCTTCATTTATTGTAAAACTATATTTATATGAACTCATCTTCAAGAAAAAATATCCAACAAGCTTTTGAGGTTAGACAAATAGTATTTGATACATCAAAAGTCAATAGAGTTCAGTGCTTTGAAGTCAGTCACAACCTGATTTTGAGACATTGCATCATACTGATGCATCATTTTGTTCCATTTAATGTGCAACTTCAGATACTTCTTAGTTCCAAGAGACAGTATAAAATCCTTTGTGGGCAGAGAAGAATAAAGAAAATACTTCCCGTTCAAACTAGCTAAAAAAAGAGTACTGTTTCACATCAATTCATTTTGCATTTAGTTTAGCAATTGTCTTACAACCTTAAATGAGCGTTACATGTCATCCTAGTCTCTTCAACCAAAAAAACCCCACAATTTAAAACAATTTAAAAAGGTAATTTACTTACTATGGCATCTTTGACTATAACTCTGGCGACTTGCTCTGCTTGGCAAACAGATGAGGTCTCAGAAATTAGCTTCGTCTCTAAGGGCTTTAGCAGAAAAACACTAATGTAAGTTTGACTAACACCACAGAGGAGAGAAAAATAGCAAGATCAAACTTTGGTGTGGGGTCTTACATCACAGATGACATCACTGTTCACAAGTGGTATTATACCGTCACCTAAAACATCCACTTAAAAGGTAAAAATCATCTTCATAAAAGTCTAATTTTATGACGAGGACTGCAAATTTTTCCTTGAGTATCACTTTTTTATATTTTATTAGTAATAAACTATTTTAAAAGTGTGGAGTTTTTCTCCAAGTATTTTATTTTCAGTAGAAACTATCAAAACACTTAAACTACATCTCCTCAACACATCATTTATGGATTTTTCCCAGAAGTTAAATTGAAAATAGGCCTGAAATATTGTAAGATCCTATAAAACAACTTTTTTTTTTTTAAAACCTCTCAAACTCCACACACTGGTATCCACCAAAATCCATCACTGCTTTTAATTCTTTACGTCACAGAGCATTTATGTCACTTTACCTCACTAGAAGAAAGCAGTTATGGTTATCTTAGCAATCATAATTTCTTTCACAAAAAACCCTAACAATTAACAAACAAAGAAAAACATCCAACAAACAAGTCTGGTCTGCTACAAAAACAAAAAGAAAAAAATATGCTTGTACTTATTTAGAAGGACATTTGTCATTCATGTCCTTTTACCAAACAAAACAATGACAGAGCTAACTGCACAGCAAGCTATTTAAATAATCAATATATTAATGTAGATGGTTCTGTTGATGAAGAAACAACAACTAAATCAGGGAGAAAAGAGTACTTGGCCACAAGTTTACTTGTTGAAATGGCTAATTTGGTTCCATTTAATAACAATATTTAATTGAAGCATTCAAGCCTAGTCAAATACTAGTTTAAAACTAGTAAACTAGCTTAGGACTAGAAGGACTACTTTAATTCCAAGATTGATACCTTTAAAAAGCACTTCTTGGGAAGAGCTGAGCAACTACAGGTTTGTCTCTCACTATCAATACAAAGTACTACAGAAATTAAATTTCAAAGAAACAGATATTGTTAAATCTGTGGAATTATGAATTCTGATTTTATTTATCAGGCCCACTGAAAACTTTATTTTTTTCAGTACAGGTATTTTAAGGGGGGAGAGGAGGGTAATAAGTGACCTTCCCAGCAGAATCACATACAAACATCTCCTACATGCTTTCCTACAGTCATATATGGCTTATGTCATTCTATCACCATCTCATAACCCTTATGCATTTTTGAGCTTACTGGCCAGTATCAATCATATCTGAAAGAGATATAGGGATGTCAATAGTTGTTGTTCATAAAGCAGTTACATCGAAAAATCCTGCACAACCAACAAAACCTAATGATTAAATTTTCTTTCACTACATTCGATGATTACAGAGAAAAACATCCAGCCCTTTAGGATGCAAAATACAGAGACAGATGTACCAAACTAAGTGGTATTAAATAAACACAACAATAAGGAGTATCTGAGCTCTTGCTGCAATGCAATACATTGCAGGGATTTAAGGTGAACCATCACAATAGGAGCTAGTCACCAAAAGACTTCACGGATGCTAAACCAAAGCCTAAGCCTATGCTTAAAAGACAGCATCTTCTTGACAGCTAAGACAAATACCAGAAATTTCTTTTAAATAGAAACCTTAGATGAACATTGCATTTTGCCAGTGATTGTATTTCCCTGGAACAGGCTATTATGAAGAAAAAAAAGTCCCAGAGACTATGCAAGCTATATAAGTATCTGCAGATGTCTAATTCTGGCACTTCACATTGATGTGTGGGAGTATACATTTAATACAGAATATAAAGAAATTATGAGGTAAGAATTATGTTATACAATCCTAAACAAAGGGTGAGAGACAAAATGGAACTCAACCCCAATTGCCTGCTATATGTCATGAGGCATCTTGAAAAGGCTGATCTCCTTAGATATCAAGTTTCTAGTTCACAGCACGCAGATAAGAAAAATAAGACACGTTTTTTTCCTCCGGTTACCTGATACTTCAGGCTGAACGGGGGGCCTGAATGTAGTTTCTCAATTTATACTTTATGTGTAGCAACATGTCAAATGACGAGAGGCAACTACATTTTTCAAGGTCAAAATGTCACATTTAAGGTAAGCCGAGGGAAAAAGCCCTCCTGCTGACCCACCCTTCTGGAAAGTGCTACTGCCACTTGTGCCACAACCACAACGCAACAGAGTTTTGCTTCCTACTTCTGTACTAGACAGCAGCCACTGCTGAACTGTGTCACATCCATGCAGCACCGTCAGTTTGCAGGCTTCTCTGCGGGAGCTGAGGTTTATTTTGATCTGTCACATGTATCGGAACAACTGCATTTATCAAAGATGCAGAATAGGAATATTATTTTTGGCTCAGTAAGCTTTGATTTCCAAACAAATAGTGGTTTTACAGTTTATCATCCTGCAACAGTATTTCGACTGCATACAGAAAGCCTTTGCAATGTTTCAGGTGTTACAGGTAGGTAGTTCTTCCACTAAAAGCTAGAACAATAAACTAAACAGAATTTTCCTACAAGCTATTTAACTCTTAATTTGCTAAAACTGAAGTGTTTAAAAGGACTTCTAAAAAAAACTTAATATGCACTGATTTCAAGAATACTATGGAAGTAAATTAAATGCATTGCTTACTACAAAGCAAAGCTATAAAAATGTTACAGTATTACTAAAGGACAATTTACCTTTGTTTTGCTTTCTTCTGCAAAGCCAGGTGTGTCCGTATCTGGAGGATAGGCCACCGTTATGTAGATATTATAAGGTTTTACCTGTATTGTACAAAAGCATTATCTTAATACTAACAGCTTTTACATGTCCCTCGTAACTCTTACAGCAAATACAGCAAGCATGAATTTAAATTGCTTCTAGTGTTAAGCCACCCTCACATCCAGCACTTGCAAGATTCAAAGATCTGTCATGTCAGAAAACAAAATAGCAAAGATCTTCAAAAAGATCATTGTGCTTTGTTTAATAAAAATACTCAAAAACCTTGCATTTGATATAATCATCTGATGAATCTACGTGCTTTTTACGAAAGCAGTTTAGCCCTGTAATTTTACCAAATTACTAAACCATTGCCAAACACATACCCAACATTCACAAATACAAAGCCAGAAAGGGGTTTTAACTGAGGCTTATCATCATGCTTTTTTGTTGTTATGTCAATATATTTTCACTGCTGGACAAAAATGAGAAAAAAAACCAACAAAAATACAAAATTCAAATCCGATATCTTTAGGAGGTATACTCCAGTCTCAAGTTTTTCAACCCATGGTATAAAACTTGCAAGGGGTCAAAGTCTAAGGAGACAAAAAATAAGTAGAAAATGTGAGGAAAAATGGAAGGTCTGATTCAAGGATTGCATTTCATTATGTATCAGTATGTATGTGTCACAGAATTACTTCACTTACTACACTACTACTCGGAAACTACTACAATGCAAATCTGAACTCCAATGCAAATAAAGAAGCTTTTAATGAAAATATTCAGAAGGCTAAGATGAAGCCAAGTGTTGTAAAGCACTAAGTGTTCTTTTTTATAAAACCTTCCGTTTTGAAAACACTTACTAAAACACCACATCACAGGCCCATAAATGCTCTATTTTTCATTTTGAGTAATTCAGTGTTCACAAAAATACCTATCACCAGTCTGAAGAAAGGCCCTGCAGTCATGTCATTTTATTTGGCAGACCAGAAGCGATTAGAGGTAGTTTTACTCCACATTCTTATCCTGATCAAGGCATACAACTACCTTGAACAGAACACAGTAACAACAGGGACTATGGAAGGGTCGAGAACCAAGCACAGCATATATTGACACTTAAAAATACTCATTCTTAACAGAAAAATAAGGGAAGTCATTTTCAAATCAGTTGGGCCTGTCTTATTACCGTGTGCTTACCAACCCTGCGCCACTAATAATGAAAAGAACATCCGTTTGGTTTTTAGTCTTGACTTGAGCATAAGCTTAAAAATGTGTTTTGTTTTGGTTTTTTTAAACAGGAAAAAGCTCATACATACCAAAATTTAGAAGAGTGAACCACTGTACCAACTTCATTGTTTCACGTGGTTCACACACCACTTACACAGTCTCACAAAACCAAGTTAGGAATCACTGGCCCGCCCTTCATGCATCATTCTGCACTTAGAGCCTTGAGAAAGACTTTTACTTGAAAGATTCAGAATCCAAGTCCTTTTAGTTAATACAAAAGATTTTTTAAAAAAAAAAAAAATTCTGCAGATATGGTCTTCTTCAGTTCTAGGAAGAGATGCCCTCTTATGCAACTGAGCTCAGCTTAGTTTTTGCAAGCCCACGCAGAGCGACGGGATGGCAGCGCTGCCACGGAAAGGGCCAACACAACACAGAGGTATAAGCAGCTGCACAGGGCAAAAAGAGAACTACTTAAATGAAAACGTGCTCTGTCGCTCATTAAAAAAATACTTGTGTTTACAATCAAAAATACTTCAATTATTGCACACATACCTCCATTTGCAGGGCTTCAGCCAATCCTCGAAGAGCGAACTTTGTTGGAGAATAAGCGGTATAACCAAACAGGCCTAACTGCCCAGCCTGAGACGACACAAACACGATCCTTCCCATCCTTCGTTCCTTCATGGTAGCGATGACTGCTCGACTTGGGTAAACACTACCCAGATAATTCACAGCCATTAATCTCTGCACAAACAATATTAATAGGGTGTTTAAGCCACAGAATCCTTCATAGCCAAAAACCTCACTTCAAGCCAAATGAAATCCAGTCTATCTACAAGTCTTAATAGCATCCAGGATATACTGGTAATACTGTGAACCATACGGCCCTCAAGGAAAAAAAAAAAAAAAAAAAGAGGGAAAATCTAACCTAAACAGTTTCCAGGAAGCAATCCATTTACGCATGATGTATGAAAACATACTGAAATGAAAGTTTAAAGGGCTTTCTAAAACAGGAAACAGGAAAAAATTATACGTATTTATGCATTTCAGAGATTTTAATCTTTGGCAGGATAAGCGGAAGTCTTTAATTTCACTTTCTAGAAGACCTAAGCCACAGCTGATAGCCTATATAAGCAATAAAATGGATGCTTCAATTTCATTTAAAATTATTCCTATTTAGTGTTTTCAGATGATTTCAGATGATTATTTGTATGTGACTGGGGACCTGAGGGCTATGGGTATAAAGTAACCAAAACACAAGGGTTTGTTGGGTTTTTTTTTGTCTTTTCAACAGAGCAGCAGCTTCTCAAGCTGCAAACAACTTGTGCACAGAGATGAACCCTGCTAACAGTCTAATGTTTTCTTAAACATTTAAAAATATTTTTTAACACCTAAAATATGTTTAATATATCAAATATACAATATATA